ATTTAAAAATTCAAAATTCATAATTGTTATTATAGTGACAGGTTATAGCAGGAGTACATGTAGAGCACTTACGAATGACAGGTTCACAGGCCACAGCAGCTGCTTGAGTGTAGTTACAAGAACTCAAGAGGTCTCCATTGATTGGAGTACAATTAGAGAACGATCCTTCTCTACCAGTACACTGCAGGCCAGCCAGTACAGGAGGGAGATTATTGTAACCATAACTACCAGCAGACAAATTCCTTGCCACTATAACATAAGAGCATTAATGTATCAGGAAATGTAATAAAGATTGGTGGTGATCTTGGAGCCAAGCTTTGGAAAAAAGTATGGGCTATAGTACATGGTATTTTTCAGAAATTTAGAGTTTTTAAAAAATAGCCATAACTTGAAAACTGAAAGTTGGAATCGGCTAAAAATTCTACAATGCATAAGGACATCAATGTATCAGAATATTTCTAAAGTTTATACTATCAAAATTAGCTAATATAATATCAAATGTTCATTACTCAAAAACTAAAAATTATTCACAAGTATTTTATTAACAATTTATTACTTACAATCATGATTGAACCCGGCAAGAGAGCAAGTGACTGAAGCATCATAAAGATCAAACCCAATTCCACAGATACTCCTCCATGTTCCAAAGTAACAAAACTCTGGTCGACCAGTATAATTATTGGGACCATCTACAATTCTTACATCTCCATGACGGCAAACACTAGGAACTAACATTAAAAAATTATAATTCCATTTGCTATAAGCATATATGTTTACCTTGTAAGCAGGTAAGTAATATTGGACCACCTCTAGTGTCACAGTTACCATTAAAGGTTGTGTAGTTGCAGTTATCATATTCACTGAATATAGGACAGGAGAGATTAGTGGCTGAATAAGTACTATTAGGAGCTGTAAAGTTAGACTCAGAACCTATCACTGGACCAAGGGTATACCCTGTGGTGAAAAGAAGAGGAGAATATATATAACTTACTGAAGGTATAAAAATGGAGTCTCACTTACCATAATATCCAGTCCTATAGCAAATATAACGGAGTTCCTCTTCACTCACTCCATCTCTACATATTGGTATGTAATCATAAGTAACACAGATTTGAGGATAGCCAGTGACAAGGTACTGATTGTTGTTGAGACGACCAGAACCATAAGAACCTTGTCGGATTTGAATATTACCAGAACCACAACTATAAGGACCTAAGGAAGAGAAAATAGGTGCAATAGTTACACTAAACAACTGGATCTGTCTATTATAAATATGATCATATTTTTGTTTACCATTAATACAAGTGACAATGCTAGGTCCACCATAGCCAGTACAAGACTGTGTGTTAGTGGTGTAATTGCAAGAACTATCAGCATAAGGACTATCAGCTGGACAACTGAAGCCAGTAATGTAATTAGGTATGAAGTTGACTCCATAATCCTTAGCTGATCCAACTAATGGATATGGTAGGCCAGTTCTAGACTGATAATTTCCACTGCATACAAGATCAATGTTAGAAGAAGCTGTGAACATAGAATAATAATAACAATAATAAAATAGTACTACAATTAACATTATGAAGCTCACTTATAGTGTTATTGCAGTATACTGCTTCTTGCATATTGATACATGTAGATATTCTACCAATGAAACCATAACGACCATCAGCAGTAGTGATAAATGAAGAATAGTATAGACTCTGATATGATGAATAACAGCTACGAGCTACATTAAAATGGAAAGTGTTCAATGATATCATAATTCATAATCATTTTATGAAACACAATAATGCTCTTGTAATATTCATCTCTAACATTAAATGCATAACTCACATGGTCTAAAGCACTGTATTACAGCATTTTTATTCACACACTCTGCACTATCATTAGCTGGTCTTGCATCATTTATACAATTATATATGTATGAAGTCCAATCACCAAATTCACAGGTAAAGTTAGTGTATACTCTATCATTCGATCCATACAATGATGTATTAGATGGTAAGAAAACACCACCTGAAAAAGAGGGCACAGTAAAGTAATGATAGATATAAAAGACAGAAGCAATCATGTCAATTTACTATTGAATCCATTGCCTATTGAATTACAGGCAATATCAGCTAGTGGTTCACTGAGTGTGTCATCATCACAAACAGATACCCAATCACGATTAATACAAATCTCTAATCTGCCAGACACTCTAGCACTGCCATTAGAAGTATACTCAACCCTTTCATTAACCATTCTAGTTCGACCATTACTACAGGCTACAAAGGAAAAGATTAAATGGACAGATATTTTTAGGTAAGCTACTTACTGGTTTCACAAGTGACTGCTAGTATACCTGATGGACACTCTGTTATATTAGATATTTCATAGGTACAGCCTTGAAGTGAATATACATCACTACCACAGCTGACATTACGTAAAACAATACCACTGGAACTCATGGAGTAGTCAGATGTCCATGGTATTATTGTAGCTCTTGAATCTGTAAATGAGATTATAATAATGTAAAATGAAAATCTGTACAATACTAGCAGTCCACTCACTATAGTCCCTGTCATTACATGCCCTCTGAGCAATAGCCTCAAGATCAGAATTACCATCAGCACAAATGTCAACATATTGAGAATTCACACAACCAGATACACGACCACTGGATACTGTTTCAAAATCAGCATATCGGTTATAAACTCTAGTGTAGTTCAATAGTCTTACTGAGTTACCATCACTGCATTCTGATGTACTAGTAGTGACATCTACAGGCAATATCATTAACTGGAAAAATATATTCAAACATACTTTCTCTGCAAGAGAAGATGGCTACTCCACCATAACTAGAACAATTGGTTGAATCAGTTGTATATGTGCAGCTAGAAAGTGAAGAATAGCTACAAGTGATGTTTGTAATGACACTAGTAGTATTGTAAACACTGTAGTCACTCTCTGTTCCTATTAATAATTCATAGACTGGGTCTGTAAAATAAAATAATAGGAACCAGTTATGATAAGGAGTGATTGCATAATACAACTTACAAGAATTGTAATTAATTCTTCGACAGAAAGCATAAGCAAACTGGTCATTAATAGCATCATTACAGACAGGAGTGTACACCCTTGAACGAGGACAGACCTCAACACGACCAGTATATACAGACTGAGATCCAGGATAGAAAGTAAACCTGCTTGCATTACCAAACCTAGCATTATTAGTTGAGTAACATGGTTCACCAACAGCAGGAGTGGATGATGGAGTAGGAGTAACTGAGAATGATGAGGCAGAGATAGAGACAGATGAAGAAAAGGAGAATGATGTAGTTGATGTGAATACTTCAGTACTGACAGAAGTAGTAGAAAGTTCAATTGTTGATGAAAATACTTCAGTACTGACAGAAGTAGTAGAAGGTTCAATTGTTGATGTGAATACTCCAGTACTGACAGAAGTAGTAGAAGGTCCAATTGTTGATGAGAATACTTCAGTACTGACAGAAGTAGTAGAAGGTTCAATTGTTGATGAGAATACTTCAGTACTGACAGAAGTAGTAGAAGGTCCAATTGTTGATGTGAATACTCCAGTACTGACAGAAGTAGTAGAAGGTTCAATTGTTGATGAGAATACTTCAGTACTGACAGAAGTAGTAGAAGGTTCAATTGTTGATGAAAATACTTCAGTACTGACAGAAGTAGTAGAAAGTTCAATTGTTGATGTAAATACTCCAGTACTGACAGAAGTAGTAGAAGGTTCAATTGTTGATGAGAATACCTCAGTACTGACAGAAGTAGAGACAATAACGGAACTTGTAGAAGATGTGCCATCACCTATAAAAAACAAAATGCATAACATCAATGCATCAGAAATAATATATCAGGAAAAAGAAACAATAAAAGCAAGTATATTTACTTAAAATAATAATGTAAAATATTGAAACTCTTACGTATTATATTTAGTGTCTCTGTGGTGCTGTTAACAACTGTTCTTGACACATTAAAATCAGTCAAATTAACACGACAATCATACTCTCCAGCATCAGACAGCATGAGGTTCTCAAATGCTAACACCAGACGAACTGCAACAGTTTCATTATCACAACCATAATAACCATAATAACGACACCTATACTGTTCCACCTCAGACTCTGTGAGATTGTAACGACCAGAAACTGAAGAAAGACGAGCACCATTACGATACCAACCAATAGAGTTTAACTGGAAGTCACCAGACAAGAATTGATAGTCCAGTGTACAAGTCAATGTTAAGTTAGTGTTAGGACCAAGTGTAGCAGTACCATTGATTGTAGTATTGATAGCAACTAAAAATAGAATTTAAAAATTCAAAATTCATAATTGTTATTATAGTGACAGGTTATAGCAGGAGTACATGTAGAGCACTTACGAATGACAGGTTCACAGGCCACAGCAGCTGCTTGAGTGTAGTTACAAGAACTCAAGAGATCTCCATTGATTGGAGTACAATTAGAGAATGATCCTTCTTTACCAGTACACTGCAGGCCAGCCAGTACAGGAGGGAGATTATTGTAACCATAACTACCAGCAGACAAATTCCTTGCCACTATATTATAAGAATAATTATTAATATGTATCAAAAATTGTAATAAAAATTGGAGGTCATTTTGGAGCCATTTTTCGGAAAAAAGCATGGGCTATAGCACTGGGCATTTTTTATAATTCTGGTGTTTTCTTAAAATGACTATAACTTGAAGACCCAAAGTTGGAATTAGCTCAAACTTTTTATACAGCATAAGGATATTAATATGTATTAGAATATTTCTGAAGTTCATATTATTAAAAGTAGTTAGCATATTTTCAAATGCTCATAGCTCAAAAACTCAATTAATGAGAAGTAATTAATTATACTTACAATCATGATTGAATCCGGCAAGAGAGCAAGTGACTGCAGCATCATAAAGATCAAACCCAATTCCACAGATGCTCCTCCATGTTCCAAAGTAACAAAACTCTGGTCGACCAGTATAATTATTGGGACCATCTACAATTCTTACATCTCCATGACGGCAAACACTAGGAACTAACATTAAAAAATTATAATTCCATTTGCTATAAGCATATATGTTTACCTTGTAAGCAGGTAAGTAATATTGGACCACCTCTAGTGTCACAGTTACCATTAAAGGTTGTGTAGTTGCAGTTATCATACTCACTGAATACAGGACAGGAGAGATTAGTGGCTGAATAAGTACTATTAGGAGCTGTAAAGTTAGACTCAGAACCTATCACTGGACCAAGGGTATACCCTGTGGTGAAAAGAAGAGGAGAATATATATAACTTACTGAAGGTATAAAAATGGAGTCTCACTTACCATAATATCCAGTCCTATAGCAAATATAACGGAGTTCCTCTTCACTCACTCCATCTCTACATATTGGTATGTAATCATAAGTAACACAGATTTGAGGATAGCCAGTGACAAGGTACTGATTGTTGTTGAGATGACCATAACCATAAGAACCTTGTTGGATTTGAATATTACCAGAACCACAATCATCAGGACCTAAGGAAGAAATAGGTGCAATAGTTACACTACTGTCTATATTATAAATATGTTTCTTGTTTACCATTAATACAAGTGACAATACTAGGTCCACTATAGCCAGCACAAGACTGTGTGTTAGTGGTGTAATTGCAAGAACTATCAGCATAAGAGCTATCAGCTGGACAACTGAAGTCAGTGATGTAATTAGGTATGAAGTTGACTCCATAATCCTTAGCTGATCCCACTAATGGATATGGTAGGCCAGTTTTAGACTGATAATTTGTACTGCATACAAGATCAATGTTAGTAGAAGCTGTGAACATAGAATAATAATAATAATAATAATAATAATAATAATAATAATAATAATAATAATAATAGTAATAATACTA